TGTAGTCAATACGATCATTCCTCGAGTACCCTTGTGGGAGCAGGACGTCAAAGAGGATTTTGCTGTCCGAAAGTTATGCCTAAATGCCCTACTGGACGGCCATACTTCAGTAACGACGGCCACTGCGACACGTTCTGTCCGCAGGAGACTCACTATTGCTACAGCATCGACAGTCGAATTTGGATTACCGTGTGCTGTGAAAAGCCATGTCTCAACAGTCACATACAAAAAGAGGATGGAACATGTGGCCTCAATTGATCTGGACAAATCTTTTTGTATCTTCTGTTTTAATTTTGATTACAAACGCTCGAATAGCTTATGAATAACTGCATGAATTAAGAGAATTGTCATAAAAAACTGACAATATAACCTTAAATTTCATTAAGAAAAGCAGATGATTTGCATATATTAATGACCAAAAACAAAATTTAGATTAGCAAATACTTGAGGTAAGGAGAATCACGCTTGCAGTTGAGAGCACACTGACGCCTCCTGCTTCTTAACAGTATAAAATACAGTTATGAAAAGTTAGCTATATCACGCAGGACCTGGCTTTGGGGAAAAAACCTTTAGAAACGGCGGCCTCACACACACACACATACACACACACACACACGCACACGCACACACTAAAGAACAGAAGCTATGAACAAGAAAGGGAATTTTAAGGATTTATTCCACAGCTATAAAATGTTAAGTCGACGTCTTGCATTAAGAATGCGTCAGTGCGGTCACCAGTATGAAGAAACGTAACGGCTATGTGATCAGCAGTATGCAACTGTGAAGCTGACTTGATCGTTCAGCATCAAAACAGTTGAGGAAGTATGAGAAAGCTAGAAACTTTTAGTGAAAGTAAAACCGGAGGTATAGCCAATATCACTCATTGAAAAATTACAACGCTTGTTAAAAACCAATAAAACTGCAATATATCACAAAAGATCATAATAGAGAAAAGTCACCTGTCATAGAGCAATGGAACAATCCCGGTTGTTCATCTAGATAAACGTTGACAGGCACGAACGCAAACGCAAACAAAAAATCAAAAGATTTCAATAATCACAGAACAGTGACTCAGAAAAGGCGAGACAAAGAAAGCAAATTCAATCCTAAGTGAGTCAGAGTGCAACTTCTATCGGCTTTCTGAAATATGGCCTCACAGGAGGATTTTCCAAGATCACGGCCGAATAATCCTTTCCGCCAACTTCAACGACGAACTACAATCAGAATAAGTAGAGGCATATGTCATGACGCGGGGCATTCTGTGACTGAAATTGACATTTTCTCACTATTTACCTCATCATAGTTTGATAAAATTGTTGAAATCATTTTCAACCCCTTGAATTCTAGCAGAAAATGTCAAAAAGCAAAATTTTCCTCAATTTGCGCTGACTTTCTTTCGCCGGACAGAGTTCTTCTATCAAACATTAATAGCATTTTCGCTGGAAACATCAGCATCCTTCGTTTATTAATTTCCGCCACCAACCAGTCTATTTCGTTTGCACGATCTATTCAACGTTTGATAACGTAGGTCAGTGAAGTAAAAAATACGAAGTCAATAGAAAGTTGAGCTGACCAGTAACGCGAATCCTCCTGCTTAGTCTCCATATGTAACTAGCTCTTCCCGCAGCTATGAATGCTAGATACTGGGGTATATAATGTGATGCCAGCGATAGAAACAGCTGAAATAAGGTTTGTTCGGCAAAAATGATGGCGTGACAACGCTCGACAAGGTCAAAGACATGGCAATCCTAGCTTGCCCTCGACTGAGTCACACCTTTTATACATCGAAAAATTAGTTGCGATTAGAACGCTACAGGAGACTCGCAAGGTGAATTCGCATAATAAGGTACATAGTAATCGATCAAGGGGTAGACCACGGACCAGATGGTTCGATTATATAGAACCCTTTACACTGCTGCGCCTTAGAATCCAGACAGTGAAGCTTGCCAGCTCGACGGAAAATCAGAACCCGAGGAAAGCCTTCATTAGGCAGCTGCCCCGCCATTCAAAAGGAATACCGCGAAATGAAAATGAATTATGATATTAGAAAGTCCTAATGAGTTCCGCTTTTCAACTTTTAAGTCTTAAATAACGTGAATTCAGCCTCACTGACTAAAATCCCTAACAACCCTACCTAATCTGGTTTAAAGAGAATAGTCTCTACTATCTCTGCTTCGATTTAAATTTCCGCTTCTTTAATTACATGAAGACTAAACCATCCTTGCTAAAATTTTCAGATTTCGGCATTAACAGACACCTGTTACAAATTTTCAATATTTGGTTTAACTGAAAACGGCAGCATTTTCGACTAAGATCTCTTTGCTTTAAGCCAAAATATATCATTCAAAGCTAATACCGTAAATCTGCTCCTAGCATCTGTATTTCATTCGCTATGTCTACCCTGAAAACTGCGATATCGGAACTTTTCATCACGGAGTATAAAATGTTTAAGATATTCAAAGTTCACTCCGTACTTTTTCTTTAACTGAAGGTGCCTTGACCACGGCAAAACACAACGGAGACTGCGTGGCAAAACTGTAAACGCCGGAAGTGATATATCCAATTACCTAAACAAAGTCGATAAATAACGACAACACTATCAACTACGCATTTTACTTCGGATCCAACTTTCACTTTTTCGTAGTTGTACCTATACGAACGAGGAATGTCATCCGCAGATTCAAACTTAAGCAGCACAAGCGATTTTGATGGCTTCTGTTTCAACTGTTCCATGACGTAAGATTTTCCAATGAAATCACCCTAAAAAATTGCACCTGGCATGGCAAACGGCCGATAGATCAATGTAATAACGATTATAGTAACATAATAGCGAATCTGCACGGCCAGTTTAACTGGCGTGACATCTGTGACAAAACCAGCTTTGAAAATGTCAACGAACATTCTTATAAAATCCAACCTTATTCCATTCTGTAATGCACAACTGCAATAGCGAAAATTTTTTATGCTGGCTCCCTTTGCTCGCAACATAATCCGTGTCTGTAAAAATTGCCGTGATGCAAATCTAACTTCAACTAACCTCATCTGCAAACAGACTGCTGCGACTTTTTAATGAGTAAATTCAGTTAATCAATATATAGCAAAACGTTCTACGCATATAGCCAGTTTTGAAGAATATCAAGAGGATATCAAATAACAGCTATCAGCTATCAAATAACAGATATCAAATAAATATATCTATAAAACAACATTTCTCTGGTTCCCACAAACGAATCTTACAATGCAGCTGAAGGACACGAGTGCAACTAATTTAAATAACGGAGCCAACCTTATTTTCTAACATTGCATCCAAAAGAAAATGTCTGCGTATTGAAGAAAATAGCCTTTCCTTACAGAATTGTACCATTCATTAATGACTCTTTTAATGATAACATAGTAATACCAGTATTAGATTTTGCCAACAGAAAGTGCCATCTTCCGTTCAAACGAACGGCCGCGTAAATACACTGATTGATAAAGCGTTACTACGTTGGATTTTCATGATCTTCACAGAACGAACGTTGACAGATAATTCACCCCATTTCTTAACATCTTTCCTCAAGAATGGTTTGAATCATCGGTTCTTCTTCTGCATGAACCATCAATCTCTGTTTAAAACACAGAGAGAAAATGATTTCAACATGCACTTTGAACAATTAATAGGACTGGTAGCTCCACATCATGTCGACTTTCTTTCTAACTGTTAGACAATAAAATGTCAAAAAATTTTTTCTTCTTTTACAATAAAATATACAACCATCTAGGTAAGCTGGTGTTTTGACCCGAGTGGGGGAACGAAACAAAAAATAAAACGTTGAGTTCGTCAGATGAAATATCAACTGACCTACACAGTCGCACATATTATTATTTATTCTCCGACGATATTTGATGTCAGTTTAGAGTAAACGACTGTTCCGCGTTAAGAATTTCTTCTTGGACTTTCCTACTGCTATATATGTAATTCGAAGAAATATGCACTTCCAGTCATAATCTAGTTGCAGAAAATAAAACATAATTTATCAGCATTAAATAACTAATCGACTGTCAGTTTAGAACATACATGAATAAAGTTTCAAATAATAAATATATACGAAACGTCATTGGGGAGGGGGGTAACAACGAAGCACAATATCTATGCAATTCTTTACAGAAAATAAAGCAAATAGACATCCAGTATATCACATAATGAGATGAGAAAGACCACCAAAAGATCTCCATCAACTTCTTCCGGGTATGTGACCCTGGGGCAAACCTTGCTACAGAGCACATGCGTGTTGCCATATGACCACTGGCATTGGATCCTCCCTGACAAAAACGTTTCAGCAAACAATGATTCCCTCCCAAGACGCTAGACCGAAGAAATCAGTCAATCGAATGAAATGACGATCACTCACAGCAAATCGGGAGAAGAAACTGGAAATTGTGCCTAAGAACTTATATCTTATCACTATCTCTTTCAATAGAATGATGAATTCAGCCACGGACTCGTCCACAATAGGAAGATAACATTCACTCGTTCATTTATTTTCAATGACCGCTTCTCCTTTCGGGTCGCGGAGGCAGACGCGTCAAACAATGCTTCCAATGTTCCCGATTCTGTGCCAGTATCTAAGCTTTCGCAGAAAACAACCAGAGTCTAGAGCAGACTCCTTCAATACACTTGTACCAAGTCAATCTTGGTCGTGCCATGGTTCTGCCAGTCGGCTGGGTAAATTGTAGCTGTTTCTCCTTCCCTTCTGGAAGCATTTGCAACACGTGCTCAAACTATCCATGCTGTGACTTCTCAATTTGAAAAAACAGCGGCTGTACACAAAAACTCTCACTGACTTCTGTATCACGGACCATGTCGTAAGGCCAGCGACTCGTCTCGGAAAGCCAATTTCAACAGCATGTACCCGGCATCGACGTTTTTCAGTCAGAGTCCATGACCCATGTCTTTAGGTAATCACGGGGATGAAGATCGACTTAAATACTGAGAGCTCAGTCTTCAGCCTCAGCTCTGCTTTAGTCACAGCGGTTCCGGCTAGTTCAAGCAGAACGCCACTGACCATTCTAACCCGCAGGTCGGTTTTTTCTTCAAATTTTCCACCACCAGTAAACACGATCGCGAGACACTTGAACTTCTCCCCCTGAATCACTGATCATCCGTTTACATGACGGGAGCAGTGGGCAGAAAAACGAGCAAGCACTAGGTTTTTCGTTTTAAATACAATAACATGCATGCCGGCCAGGTCGCACTCGGTTGTGAACCTTTCCCGCGAGCGTTGCATATCAGTTTCAGACGATGTCAACAAAACAAGGTCATCTACAAACGATACCTTCTCGTCTCTCGACATCTACACTGACATACTCATCGCCTTGGCTGCTCCTGACTATTCTATCCATGTACAACACAAACAGGAGAAGGGACGGAACGCAGCCTTGGCAAAGACCAGTGCCAACACTGAAACAGAAAGAAAATAAAAATCGTTAAAAATTAGCACACCCGCAAAACCCCACGGACGACACTAGACAGAAGCTGAACTAAACAACGAAGAAGCGAAGAAAAACGGCCGGCTCGCTAGCGACCATATGCCGTGTTTGCCGCAAATGCCTTTGTTACCTTGTCGACGTCTGAAACATGTTCCAATTTTGCTTCGGCCAGGCTCAAATCGAGGCACAGCTACAAGCAACAGATGAAAACGATTAACACCAAGAACAATCGAACGCTTAGCCGAACTTCGTATTCAGGAAATTTCATTCCTTTCTCGGTACGCAAAATGTTCAAAGCCTCCCAACCAGCGTCTTTGATACCAAACGCCTTTCCTGCAGTCATCAGTTCGTCGTACACTCTCAGTGTTTCAGCCCGGTTATGATAAATCTCAAATCCCGGTTCACCTAAAGACACGAAAAACGTAATCTCGAACATTGATCCACCCATTTACTGATAATCATCATCTTCAATGCGAATTACGTTAAAAAAAAATTTACGTAAATTACTAATATAGCTCGAAATGAACAATTTTCCTAACAGGAGTAATGTGGTAAATTCCAATGAAGGAAAATGGCACCACATTCACTCAAGTTAAAACGTGAAACTTACCGTCGTAAAACAAACCACAGAAGAGGGACAGCGAAATTTCGGGCTATGGTTACAACGCAGAGGCACTGAAAGTGATAGAAACAAATTGGCTCTATCAGAGCTTCAGTGCCTGAAATGGCTTAGTCCCAACCCGTTTTCTTGCGTGGCATTTTTCGTGTAATCACTGCAAACTGATTTCAGTCTTTGCAAAGCCAGACTATTCTTGGGTACATTTATTGCTATATTTATTCTGAAAAAGTCATATTTAGTGAATTGGATCTCGCTTTCCCCAAATTCTACGAACTGTTTTTTAACATGATTTGCACTTTACATAATATGACACTGACATATTCTTACAGGATGCAGTACGATATTCAAACCAACTGTTCCACGTAAACGGACATAGCAGTACCGCCCCTTCCTTCTAAAGGACAAGGAGAGTCATGAAGCTACGGCTTCGCGATATCATAACGTCTGCAGTGAGAAAATGCTAACCAGCGTCGCCTCCTGAGACGACCATCAACTTACGAACAGAAGAATATTCGTTGGTGATTCGAACTGCTCGTGCAAACTTTTTATTCATGAACTACAGGTGCCAAGGAACCATGGCATGATTAAATGACAGGCACATGAAAATCATGGCACCACAGGCACATGAAAATCATGGGTGTGTGCTGTAATACCGCGCAAACCCAGGAAGTCAATTACACTGGTAAATCTCATCAGGAGTAATAAAACCAACATTCGTTAATAAACTCAATTTGTTGGATAATTGCATATCACTATATTATACATTACCATAATTGGTTACGTCCCACGGATGACGAAAACATGGAAGACTGCTTATTATGGTCTTGATAATCCCCAGGAGAGTTAAGTCGTGCGGTAGTGGTATAATAAATTTGATCAACTCGACCCGGTGTACAACTGT